TATTGAGGATTAATTGAGGGATGGAGTATAGTGCCTACCCAGCATTCTTCAGAGGTAACTTTGAAAGAGGAGCCATTTTGATCACCTCAATTTTTTCATTTCTTTGAAAATAGGTATTTGCTTTGGGTCATACCATGAAGCCAGAGACTATGGGCATATGGATGTGGATTTTACCAGAAAAAATCAGGGATAAGAATGGTCGAGAGATTACAATAATTCTCCTTGACTCTGAAGGGATTGACTCTGTTGAATCTGAGGCTTCAAGCGACCACAGGATCTTCACATTGTCTTGTCTGCTGTCTTCGATTTTACTCTACAATTCAGTTGGAGTTCCAAAAATGAAAGATTTGAATGATTTAGAGTATCCTTTGATAGTCTGTTTTAAACCACAAACAAAACCATTCGTTTCAAATTTCTTAGCTTCCAGGCGCGTGGACGTTTTCGCTAGTACGCACATATCAGGGACCGCGCCATATATTTTGGATTATGTGTGTGTGTGGAGGGCGGGAGTATTAAGGAGGGTCTGGGTTAGGTCTTCCCCCAGGAAAAAATAATTTGAAATATAAATTATGGACGCGATTCCCCAGCGTTTTGAGGGGAATCTAGAGTGTAAAAAAGGCATCAAATCCCGAAAATTTTAATATTTCTATGCCACTAGTACGCGCGTGCGTACATGCGTAAAGGAAGCTACGCGCCTGGCTTCATATCAAACCTGTCTTTATTCTGTGGAAACATTTAGCTAGGTGAATAAGTACGAGAGAAGCTTTCGTAAGAAGGATTAAAAAATAGAGAACTAGTCTGACGCAACATCCTCATAACACAGTTACATTATCTATCCCAACCTTGCTGGCTAAAGAATTGACCTAGCATGGCACTAAACTGTTTTATAGACAGTGATTCTTAACAAGAGAAAATAGGTGCGTGACTCATCTCTCTCAGAGAATTCAACTTAAGGCAGGGACAAGGAACAAAGACGAAGCGCACTATGCTTCCAAAGTACTTCCATTCTTCATTTGGCTCCTAAGAGATGTCACTCTTGCTATTCCAAATGGACATGCAAGCTTCAAGGATTATCTTCTCAGTGAGGTATAGTACTATTACCAATAATATTAGTATTTACTATTATAAAAACCATGAAAAAGCAGCGACCGGTTGTACAAATTATTCACCGCAAAGACAAAAGTTATCCATTCAATAAGGATTATTTTTTTGGTGAATAGCGCTAATCTAAGTCTCGAATCAGTGAAAGTCTCGAATCTTCCCAGCTAATTATTTTCTGAATCAATGGCTAAACTCAACACATTCCTCTAAGCTAGTTTTAAAAGCCTACATGCACCAGAAATTAAATAGACCGAGATAAGCGTTTCAAGCGCTCAGCAGCAAACATTTCTTCCATATAGGACTGGGTACACAGTCTTCAGTTTGGTTGTTCTACAACTTATAGACTTAATATAGAAAGGCGAGCACAGATTGAAAAGACTTTCATATTTTAGGTCCTGAACAAAGACAATAGAAACCAGACTGAAAGTGCAAGAAAAGCAGCAGAAAACATCCTGGGGTACTTCCCTGACTTTGACGCCTTAGCTTTCCCTCCACCATCTTGCAAGCCTTCGGTATGTATGTATTGTTTGGCATCAATAAATCAAAAATATTTCAAATCCGAATTACAATTCTACGAATGTACATATAGGTTGTCCAAAACCTGTCCGATCCAAACGTGAGGGACAGAATAAACCCCTTATTCCTGAGCACTATCGAGGAATTTAGAACACAATTCCTGTTTCCTTCATTGTGTCCAAAGAGGTCTTCCAACGAAGGAGAATGGGTAACAGGAGAAGATAAGTATTTATTCCTTTTCTCGCCTCCCTGCGTTCACCTTTCAGAAGCTGCCACGTAGACATTTAAATCTAACATTTGTAACTTATGTAAAACAATACATACTAATGTTCGTCGGGGTAGTGAATTTGTCAGGAAGCACTTCAAAGACGTTCCACCGTGTATTCTCTTTTACATTGACAAAAGAGTTATAGATGCGTACCAACTCCTGCTGATTACGAGCGGAACAACTTTGTTTTCAAGATAAAGCATGATAAATCATCTTTCAAATAAGTTTCACACTAGAGTTTAAATTAGAACTCCTCTTGGTAACAGGGTTGGCCGCATTGGTTCAACTGTTCGTACAGGCTCTCAACATTCCTGGTAATGTGCCCAACTTTCAAAACACTTGGGACATTTTTGTTGAAACGACTTGTGGTGAAGCTGTTAAGGAGTCAATCGAGATGTACAAAGTGGAGATGGCGTCCCGAGTTAAGAACAAAATCCCTTGCGATGCTGACATGCTTCGCTTGGCCAACGAAGAAGTGATGCAAAAGTGCGTGCAGAACTTTCTGACGAAAACAGCTTCTTTATCGACAAACAGCATCAAAGAGTTTCAGGAAGACCTTGAGGTATTTACTTAGATACGCTTTCGCTAGATGGTTTATGTACTACTTTATTCAAAAGGTTCCCAAGATATCAAAGATGAACGAAAATGAAAAATCTCCCACGATCAAATGATGAAGTCGGTTGAAGA